ACCGAAGAATTGGTGCTTTTGAACTGTGGTGTTGGAGAAGACTCTTGAGAGTCCCTTGGACTGCAAGGAGATCCAACCAATCCATCCTAAAGGAAATCAGTCCTGAATGTTCATCGAAGGACTGATGCTGAAGCTGAAACTCCAATACTGAGGCCACCTGATGCAAAGAATTGACTCATTTGAGAAGACCCTGATGCTGGGAATGATTGAAGGCGGGAGGAGAGGGGACGACAGAGGATGAGATGGCTGGATGGCATCACTGACTCAATGGACATGAATTTGAGTAAACTCTGGGAGTTGGTAATGGCCAGGGAGGCCTGGTATGCTGCAGTCCATGGGGTCGCGAAGAGTTGGATGCAACTGAACTAAACTGAAGTGCCAGGAATTATTCTAAGCTCTCAGGATCCATAAGTGAACAAAATGGATCTCTGTTCCTGTGATGTTAACACTCAGGAATGTGGGGGTAGCTGGGGTGGTAGGGCAGGGTTAGCCACGTGTGTAAAAGAGGAGAAAATTATAAAACTGGTAAGTGCTATGAAAAAAGAGAATGTAGAGTTAAGTAGAACGACAGAAGCAGAGGCAAGTTGCAGTATTGAAAAGAACGGTTGGGGGAGTTCTCATCGGAAAGGTGACATTCAAGTGCGCTTTCAGTGATGTGAGTCACCCAGCAGGAAATCTGAGGAAAGTGTTCTCAGCTGGGGCAGAGCTGGGACATCATCTGCATCAGTGGGCACATGAACTGCTTAGTACTGTTCCTGATAACTTAACACCACTTTGGTCACTTACTTAAGGTGGTATCTATCGGTTTGCAGTTTTACTACTACAAAATGACTATTTTCACCTCTGTGATGAATGAATATTTTGAGGGGATAATTTGAGACTAGGTATATATTCTGTTGCTCGTCAAACTTTCACCCTCTAGTTTTATTATCCATTGATGATGCTTGCCTAAATCAGTTACCATCACAGTGTTTATCAAATGGTGCTTTTCTAATTCCATTATTCCTTCGACAGACATTGGCATTCTTCTGTAAGGAAGAATTTACTTCTCCAATTTATTTAGAGCCATATAGTCTCGTGGATTGCCAGTTCATTCACTGGATTACAGTTCATTACTTCTGTTGTTTATTTTCATATTCATCTTGTCCTGGATTTGGCCAGTAAGAGCCCCTTCAAACTAGCTCCTGTGACTTTTACCTTGTGCTTATCATTATTTGAGCAGTTCTTTACCTTCTGGCAAATAAGATGTTCCCAGGCTTACCCTGTGATTTCTTAGACCCAGCTCTGGGGTCATACATTTTCTGAGGAGCCTAAGTGTTAGGTATTACTACTGGATATCATTGTCAAATGTGTGTGTACATACACATACACATCCATACTCCTGTACACATAACTCTTCCTTCCTTCCTTCCTTTCTTCCTATCTATCTGTCTGTCAAAAACCATGCATTCTTACCTCTCCAGTACCGCTGGATTCATTCTAGTCTTTGTCCTTTCCATCTCTGTAGCTCTCTTCTTGAATTGTGAGAAACCTGGTTCCCATTATCCTCAATATATTGATTTGTTTTCCTATTCCTAGAGTAATTTCAGAGTTGCTAAGCCATACTGTTGTGAAAAGCAAGCCTAGTAACAAGAACTCAGCATTTGTTTACAAGGTTTTATTCTCATAGTTTGCACCATCTAAATACTAATGGGGTTACAAATCTTAATACTATGCTCAAAAGTTACTTGGGTTCATGCATTTCCCACCCATCTCCCTTAAATCTGGTTATATTATTCATTTGGGATACATTTGTTCTTATTTGTTACCATTTCAGAGTTTTTCCTCATCCTAGTTGATTTTATTATCATTTTTTTTTTTAGCGTGTACAATGTTAAAGTCAAAAGGGCAATATTAAAGGCCCAGAAGTCAAAACTACACAAAGAAGTTCTCAGAGAAGTGTCCCTCCATCTCATCCCTGTAACCCTTTCCCACTCGATACATGTAGGGAATTAGTTTTGTTCTCTTTCCTATGTTTCTTTTTGCAAAAGCAGTGAGGCATATTTATAGATCATGCTTAAAGCCATGAGGCTAAGCAGTGAGTTTAGATGGAGAAAAGGAGAGGACCAATGACTGAGACTGGGCCAGTTTGCTATTAGGAGATCGGGGGGATGCAGCAGTGGAGAGACAGAAGGACGAGCAGGCTGGGGAGGTACCCCGGGAGCCCCAGGAAGTGCAGCAGGGACGGGGGGTGAGGGCCCAGCCGTGCCGGACTCTGTGGACGGATCAGAGGATGACAGGGAATGCACTGACCATTCGGTTTAGCAATGTGGAGGTTGCTGGTGACCTTGTCAGGGGTAGCCTGTTGGGAACGAAAGGCTGATTGAAGTGGCTAAAGACAGAAAAAAGGGAGAGGAACTGGAGAATGCAGAAGAATTTTATTGCAGTGGGAAGCGGGGAAAAGGGGTGATGGTTGGAGGGTGAAAGGAAGTCAATAGAAGGTTTTCGTGTGTGTATTTTTTTTTTTAATGAGGAAAATACTGGCGTGTCTGTAAGCTGATGGGAACGGTCTAGTAAAGTGGGAGGAGGTTCTGGTGGGATGTCCTTGAGCAGCCGAGTGGGTCGGATCCAGGGCACAGGTTGGGAGTTTAGAATGGAGCATGTCAGTCTCCTTGTGGTGGGAATTTCCTCCGAAATGCACAAGCCGGCAGCAGAGCATGTGCCTACAGTGCTGACAGGTGGGGAGATACGGGGGTAGGAGCCCGTCGGGTTCTCTTGGATCTCTTCCGTTCTCTGTGAAGTTGAAAGGATCCTCAGCCAAGAGCGAGGAGGGGAGGAGTTACTGGGGTGTTGAGGACAGAGAAGCTGTGAGGTTGGGGTTGAAGAGAAGGGAAGAGCGGCTGGACAGGAATGTGTGGTGTGATGGCAGGCAGCCCTCTCTGGTCCCACTTCAGAGTCCCAGACATGGGTGGGAAGAGAGCCCTGCTGGTTTTTCCAGCACAGTGGCGCAAATGCAAAAGTGGGGAAGGTGGAGGGTTGAATTTTGGGAGTGAGTGTGATAGAGCAGGAGGGGTGCAGACAAGGATACATGTGAGGGATTGTTTCATAGTGACTGATCATGGAACTCAGCTGGAAAAGAAGGGGCTGAAGCCCTCTAGGGTGAGGAGGAGGGGAAAGATGCTTGATCAATGCTGGGGTCCATGCTTGCTGGCGTCTGGGAGTCAGCGGGGCACGCTGGAAAGATAGGAGGTGGTGGTTGTCTGCTGGGGTGCATTTCATGCAGCCTGTATTGGGGGCTGAAGTTTGGGACTGACGAGATCTAGTGTGTGGCCGCGGGAGTGATTACCTGAGGTGTGTGAAGAACAGGAGCTGTAAGAGGGGAGAAGTTTGGGGACCCAAGAAGCCAGGATATTGGAAGGACAGGATGTGTATATTGTGTAAATTTAATCCCAGAGACATGTAACAGGAAGCAGTATTTGGAGAGTGACGGTGAGCCAGGAGCTGAAGTCCCAAGAGGTTTGGGGTGGAGCTAGATTGTGGGTGATACCACCTGATGCCTGAGACTCAGGGCTGCTGCTCTCACTCCCCTTTCCAGGCGCGCCCTCCCCTTGGACACAGAAGAAAGAGGGATAAAGGCAGCAGCAGAGAGTCGTTTAATGGCCCCTGGGCTGTTGGCCTCTGCTTGGCATTATGGATGGCACTTTGCTGCAGGAGTTGAGTAGGACCTGGGCTTGGGCCCCTCTTCAGAGGACATGGTGACAGAAGCCTGAAGCACATATGCTCAGGTGATCCGGAAGAAAGAAATGTTTTTTCTCAATCACAGTGGAAACGGTGGAGAGATAAATCCTCTTCTCATGAGGTTTATAACCCAGTAGTTTGCTGCCCATTATTTCCTCTCATCTGTTTGCATGTGGCCTTTGGTCACAGTAACCTGCTGGAAGAGGGTGTTAAATAAACCACAACTCGGGGAGAAACATCCACTCTCAGAAGTGTCTGTGCTCCCGTATGTGTTGACTAAACCCAGAAAGCCAGGTCCATCCGTGGGATCAAAACGTGACCAAGTTCTCTGAGTGTTCTTTACTCAGCCAGTTTTGGGCTCTCTCTCTTCCTTTGCTCATGATTTTAAGAAGCTGATAAGAAGTTTTAACTTCTCTGTTTGTGAATTTGTTGATTCTCATTTCATAGGTGAAAATTACCAGTTCAGGCCTGCTCAGTGTTGTATATATCACAGAAAGGTATAATATGAGGTTTATAACCCAGTAGTTTGCTGCCCATTATTTCCTCTCATCTGTTTGCATGTGGCCTTTGGTCACAGTAACCTGCTGGAAGAGGGTGTTAAATAAACCACAACTCGGGGGAGAAACATCCACTCTCAGAAGTGTCTGTGCTCCCATATGTGTTGACTAAACCCAGAAAGCCAGGTCCATCCGTGGGGTCAGAACGTGACCAAGTTCTCTGAGTGTTCTTTACTCAGCCAGTTCTGGGCTCTCTCTCTTCCTTTGCTCATGATTTTAAGAAGCTGATAAGAAGTTTTAACTTCTCTGTTTGTGAATTTGTTGATTCTCATTTCATAGGTGAAAATTACCAGTTCAGGCCTGCTCAGTGTTGTATATATCACAGAAAGGTATAATTGCCAGTATCCAGAAACCATTCTATCCATCATCAAATGTATGATTCATAACTTTTGGACACCAGAGGAGTCTAATGATATAACCATAATCATCCATCCATATGGAGAGACTGTCTGTTTCTCTGTGAAGCCAGCCAGGAAGACATTTACCTATACAATAAGTGTGAAACAAAACAGTAAGTCTGTTTTTATTACACTTGATTTTCTGGGTTCAGCTTTTCTGGAGTGACATTTCAGTAAGTTGACTGTCTTTCACTAACTGCATTGACACAAAATCTTTGTTGTGTGTCTGTTTTTTTTTTTTTGCTCCAGTTGTGGATTTCAAACTGTTCTTTGTGTTTGTGGTGGGCATCCTCCTCTTCTTTTATGCAAAGACCTTGAGTCAGTAAGTATTCATTTTTACTTTCTTAATTTTGTGAGTCAAAAAGAGTAGAAACAGGAGGATTGCCTGGTGATCCCGTGGTTAGGACTCTGGGCTCTCACTGCCAAGGGCCCGGGTTCAATCCCTGGTCAAGGAACTGAGATGGCATAAGCCACAGGGCATAGCCGGGAAGAAAAAAAAAAAAAGAGTAGGACCCTTTTGACCTTGTGCTAAATATTTCCATACTAGTTGTAGTTCTTGCTTTAGGTTTTGCCAACAACAGGTCTCCAGATAGTTTTGAAAAGGTTTTTAAAACCAGCGAGAGTCATTTGTATAACATGGTATGTTCCGGTTACACGGTGCTTTCACATGCATTATTTTGTATCATGTATCCGTATACGTTGTTTTAACTGATTTGTTTCCCTTAACAACTATGTGAGCTCTGGATGATTATTCACATTTTATGGATGAGAAAACCAGCATCCATCGTTACAAGGCTAGTCTTGCCAGGGCTGAAATTCACACTCAGGTTTTCTGATGCCGTGCCTTTCTCTCTGACATTTGTACCACCTCCTAGATTTGTAACTCTGATACAGAAGGTTGAATTTAACATATTATCCTGATGCTTTGTTTCTTATAACTTCTTTTTTTGAAAAATTTCTTTTCAATAATATTTTACTTCTTGACTTGCTATTCTGGACATTGTTTATTTTTGAGCTTTTCGTTAGAGATTAAGAGTGTGTCTTTAATGTCATCCATGATCTTAATAAACTATATGTTGCTTGCATAACCTGAAGAGTAAAGCTTGGACTCAAAGGAGCTGGGCTGCAAGCCCGATTCCTCCCAACTGGCAGGTACTGATTTGAGGAAAGTCTTTAACTTTTTGGCGCCTTTTTCCTGCCACGTAAAATTGAGACATGGATAGCTATTGCCCATGGAGTAGGAAATGGCACCCCACTCCAGTATTCTTGCCTGGAAAATCCTCGCAGGCTACAGCTCATGGGACCTAAGGTAGGTATATCAGGTACAGATGAATTAAAAAATGGAAATCATGATCTCATAAACATGAAAAATTGATTAAAATTAATTCATGTTTATTATGACAGTTCCTAATTTCTACACTGTATAAACTGGCTTAAATTGTGTCTTTTCTTAGAGATTCTATTTTCATTTGTTACTAAGTGTAGGTTTCAGTAGTACATTTTGGCCATACTTTTTTTTGAGACCCTTTTATTTTCTAGATAGTGCATCTTTCTTATGAGTGATGGGGACTCATCCTATGCTGAATGAGAATTTCTCTTGGCATAGTTGAAGAATGTCATGATGCTGAACCATCAGGGCCTTGAATAACAACGTTGCAACACCTAGGGATTTCTTCACCGTTTAGTTCCCCCAAAGCACCTTCAATAAAAGAATGGCCCACACTTAGTTGAGGATACATATGTATTAGTTCATGATGCTAATGTTGGGTTTACTCTGATGCAAGTTCACAACACCAGCATTATTTTGAGATGAATTTATTCTTTAGAACAATGTTTCTCCAACTGTAATGTACATGCACGTCACCTGGGGTCCTATTGAAGTACAGTCTCTGACTCAGGAGTCTGCTGTGGGCCTGAGAGTCTTAGTTCCCACCAGATTCCTAGTGACATTGAAGCTGCTGGTGCGTGGATCATACCTTTAGTGAGACTTGAGAAGAGCGTCTTATCTTGACTTCAGTGTAGTTTGATGTACAGATTTCAAATACAAAGGGTTTTGTTTGTTTATTTCTACTTTTATGAGAGTGAATGAACCAAAAACCATGTGATTTATTTTCTTCCACACACAGTATAGCACCTTTTGGGCTCTAATGCTTGGTTGTTGGTTTGCTTCACTTTATGTTGTGGGGCAACTGATGGAAGAGCTGAAGAGACTGTGGTATGAAAGCAGAATATGTGTATTAGGTAGGTAAAGATTTAAAAAATACAGTCTGTTATTGGTAAAGCGAAAAGTATAGCCAGGGGCCTTCTCTTGACATACACTCCAGCATTCAGATTTTCATTTTGAACTAAGGAGAAGAATTGTTAAAAATAATACTTTATTCCCATAGTTGGTGGTTTCAGTTCATTAGGTATCATTTTAGACTATTTCTCTTTGACATTCTTCCTAGTTTTCTACTCTGATGATCAAAAGAGCAAAGCAGTATTTGCCCTTTTTGACTGCATATGTTTTTAAATTGCAGTTAAGCTCTAACCACCTCTAAATTGTAATGAAAAAAATTGCTCTAAAATGTGGCTCTCTCTTTTTCTTAATGTATTTTTTACAAAAGGTAAGAAATTATAAATATAAATGACCAAAGAAAACTTGACTTTTAGAAACAGAGAGGCTTGTTCCTGTCACTTGAAAGAAAAAAAAAATATCTCAGCTTTTTAGAGTGTTTTAATTGGGAAATAACAGAGAATGGGAGAATCCATTTTCTCCTAACCTCTTAGTGCCCAATTTCTCATATAAGTACACCCACCCAAAGCAAAAGCAATCGATTTTTGTTTCACTTGAAGCTTTTATGTTTTTAGTCCATTTTTCTTTTTATATTAAAGTATTTTCAAAGTAAATTATTGCTGTTATGGTGTATTTCAGTACTTGACTTAACATTTCTATAAGGCGAGAACATTTTCCTCTATAGTTCAATTACTAAATCTTAAAAAATTAATAGTTATATAAGATTATCTGTTATCTAGGCCATGTTCAAATTTCCTAAACATCCTTGATGTTTGGTTTTATAAGGTAGGATATAGTCCAGAATGACATTTTGCATATGTTGTGTCCCATAAGTCTCGTTTAATCCTTAATAGGTTTCTGGTTTTGGGTTTTTCCCCCCATCTCAGTGATATGCTGAAGAGACCAAGTTAGATGTCCTACAGAATGTTCCACTTTCTGGATTTCTCTGATTATTCCTTTGTGGTATAATTTAACTTGTTTCTCTCCTACATCTTATATAAGCTGGAAATTAGGCCTTGAGACTTGCTTAGATAGAAATGAAATGCTTGCTGAACACCTAAGAGGTGACGTGCTCTCGACATTGGATCACCACTTGTCCCTGTGTTAGTAGGACAGAAACAGCCCCAGATTGCAAGGGTGACAGCCTGATCCCTCCACTGTAAAATCACACTGTGATTTAGTGATTAGAAAATTAAAAACAGGTTTTGTGGCAGACTGTGACGTACACTAAGGCTTATTCCTGACCAAAGCAGCTGTGATAACATCTGTCCTCTACGACTCCGGGCCAGAAAACAGGTATACTTATATATTATAATAATGTATTATTATACATCCTTAAGTACTGCAGAGTCCATCTAGCAGCTCACAGGGGAGGAATAACTAGCTCTAAATGCATTTTTCAGCTTCATTGGGGAAAGAAAAATGCAGGTGTTCTGATATGTTCTTAGCTCTAAGTCTGCCAGGTTTTTCCCATAACTTTGCAAGTTTGGCGTTACGTTATTTTACGTATTTCTGCTCTTACAGGCTACGTCTTGACACTTGGCTGTGTCAGCTTTGCTGTTTGCTACAAGCACGGGCCCCTGGTGGAGGAGAGGAGCGTGGTGCTCCTGGCGTGGCTGCTGCGGCTTCTGTCCCTGCTCCTGGTGTACGCGGGGGTGTCCGCGCCCCAGTTCGCCTCCACGGCCGCCCTGCTCCTCATCCTGGCATCCGGGAGTCGGCGCTATCTGCGGAGCGCGCTCACCTGTGTCGGGAGGTGTGTAGCTTCCTTTCTTTCCTCCGTCATAAGCTTGATGTCTTGAGCTCTGGTTTTATTTATTCTTTGGGGACATGTTTTGGACATGTCCTACTTGATACCACAATTCACTCCACTTCATCTGGGGATTTCACATTTCCCTCTAAGAAGCGGGTGGTTAGAGAATATAAGCGCCCGATCCAAACTCCATTGCTAGCTGTTGTTAATTTTCCAGAGCCACCAGTTACCAGGTAATGACAGCTCACCCAGAATTCACTAAAATCAGTGACAAAATTACTTGGGCATGGTGTCACCTAACATTTCTACTTTCATTCTACATCTCCTTTCTTTTGGGGGTATTTGTTGTGCTTATGAGATACAAGGGAACAGAACTGAATAAAAAATTGTTGAAAGTTATAATTTATATAATCAGGACTTTCTTTTTTCTTAGGTTTTAAGATAAGGCTTAAATGTCCTTAAGCCATGCAGTCTGAACACATGTTTTTGTGCTAGGTGCATGGGTGAAGGAGATGGCCCCTACCCTGGAGGTGTACTTGTTGAGACATAGGCATATTGTTGCTACAAGTGTTCAAATAGGCCTGCCCAGGAAGTATGCATGCTTAGTCACTCAGTTGTGTCCAACTCTTTGTGATCCCATGGACTGTAGCCCGCCAGGCTCCTCTGTCCATGGGATTTTCCAGGAAAGAATACTGGAGTGGGTTGCCATTTCTTCCTCCAGGGGATCTTCCCGACCCAGGAATTGAACCCAGGTCTCCTGTAACGCAGGCAGATTCTTTACCACTGAGCGTTTGGAGAAACCCACCCAGAAAGTGTAGCATGTAGAAAAAGTTCAGGAAAGTTCTTGAAAAGAGACTAATGGGCTGAATCCTAATGAATCAAAATAGCCAGATGAATAAATGTAGGAAAGGCCTTCCTGACAGGGAGAAAGCCCAGTTTGCTACCATCCCAGAGCAGGCGAGCGAGGTGGGTGTCCGCCAGGATGTGGAGGCCTCGCAGGCAGTGCTGGAGAATCTAATCTGATCCTATACATGGTGGAGGCGCTGCCCTTTCTGCATTTCCAGCAGTGCACTCTGACTGCTGCCCAGACAGAAGTTAGAAATCAAATGCTTGGGGCCCCAGAAGGTACTGAGTGAAGGATTCTGAGCAGAGGGAAGGCAGTGGTGAGGACAATGGAAAGTTCTACAACATTGCCCCAGTGAAATGGGGTCAGTTACCACTCAGCTTGAGCTCATGATTGCCATGTGAGAATATGGGCCTTGCCAGATCTCCTCGTTTTCTAGAAAAGCTGGGAACATGGATGGAATTTGTCAAGTCTTACGATTTTTAAATGTTGGCAACTAACTAATAACGAAAATAAAAACACAGTCAACAAGCCAGAATCCAAGCAGAAACCACAGTCACTCATTGGGCAGTGGGATGGGGCCCGTCTGTCTTCGGGTGCAGAGGGTGGAGGTTACGGGCAGGTTTGGGGGCAGGAGACCAGTCATCAGATGTCACAGTGGTCCAGGCAAGAGGGGAGGAGGGCCTGGAGCAGGGCGGTGAGATCAAGGCCAGAAGAGGGAGTTAGTGAATATTTGCGAGGTAAACTTGACTGTGAGAGGGGAGACTCTGTGACAGCTGATGGTTTATGGATCTGCTGACTCCACGGGTGGTGACGTCACAGGGCTAAAAAGGCACCAGAGACAGGGCAGGGCCTCTCTGCAGAGGATGTTGGCAAGGCTGATGCCAGCTGCTTCTCTCTGCCCTGTCTCAGAGGCAGACAGGGACTGGGGCTCTCCGAGTTCCCTCTGCCAGGAGCGCAGTGGCCACTGCACACCCTTCAGGCCTCTAGTCCCTTGTCTGGCTTGCGGCCTGAGGAACCCAAGAGAATTCCTTCCACTTTCCTTGTCAATATCCACTACCCTGCCAAGAGCCAAGTGTGTTCTGTCACCTGCACGGTGATCCTTTTATGCATTTGCTGTGCATTCTCTTTAACACAGATCTAATGATCAAAATGTACTGTAACTTCCTCAACTGTTCATATGGCTGGTGAGTAATTTTGTGAAGGATTAGGAAATAAAATAGGAACTTATAGTTCAATAATAAGCCAAAGAAATAGTACTTTGATTGTATAGTACTTTATAGTTTACAAAGAGCTGTTTGAATACATTTTGATAACATATGGTAGTTATTATTTTATCTCTGTCAAACACTTCCTGTAGGCTGTTCACTGTGCTAACCATTTGACACAAAGTAATGTTTTTCATTGTCCAGTGACCTCCTGAGGTTGATGATGTTGCTTTCATTTTTCTTCCATGTGAGCAAAATGAGGCTCAAAACTGTGAAGCACAGTTCGCACAGTGGGTGAACCTCACCACTGAAACTGTATGCCCGTCTTCTGCTCAGAGCCCCGTATTTTCCTCCATGGAGACCAGGCTAGGTGTTCAGAAAAGGAGGAGGAAATAATGTCAGTGGTTCCCTAATCCAGCTTATCAACCACCAGACGATCTGTAAAAGTTTAAAAATTTTCAGGCCCCAAACCTCAAGAAAACATATATTAAAACACCTCCTGGTGATTTTGTTGCTCATTTGTATTTGGGAATCTCTGGTTAAATTTTAAACCACCTAAAACATTTTTTTAAAACTCACTGATAAATACATGTGTTAAAACCTCTTCATCATTACTTCTCTTTATGAGATTCTTCTCTCTAGGACTTTTTTGATTGGAAAAAAGTTCCAATCGTGAGCCCCTCCATATGTAGCAAAAGAATAATGATTTTAATATTATGAAGTACTGTGTGTACGTGACCCTTGTAAAGTGTGTTTACTTCCTCTGAGATTAGTCAGCGTCTCCACCACTAGATGGAGGCCATACCCCACAGATCTTCCCAGCTTCTCTATTTAGACTCAGTGGCAAGTGATTCTGCTGGGTCTCCATAAAAGGACATCTCAGAGGTTTGCCGCTGTTCGTGCCCAAGAAAATCAGCAGGGCAGGCAAAAAGAAGCCAGGTTTTTAATTGCCTGATTTGAAATCACCAAGGAAGAAAAATACAATTATATCTCTATCAGAAATTGATCCTCAGGACTTCTTGGTGATCCAGTTGGCTAAGGCTTTACTTCCAATGCAGGAGGCCCGAGTTCAGTCCCTGGTTGGGGAACTAGATCCCACGTGCCACAACTAAGTCTGCATGCCACAGCTAAAGATCCCGTGGGCTGCAATGAAGGTGCCACAGCCAAATAAATTTTTTAAAGAAAGGATCCTCAGTGTCTTAAGATATTATTTCAGCTGGTCCAGGAAGAGGGGGAATGTATAGCTAGGCCCAAATTACATGTTCTATAAACCTCAATTGGGATAACAATAGAAATAAGTATAGTATGATATAGAGGAAGTTAAGAATTATTACTTTCTAAGAAATATATTCTTATAAATCTGAAGAGTTGAACTGAGCAACCAGATATGGCCAGGAATCTAGCAACCAAATGCTGCCTGTTTTAGGAAAATGAAGAAATGGTTTACATCAGAGAAGCCAGTGGTGAAGTTTCTTACTGAAGACGAATACAGGGAACAAGCTGATGCCGCCACAACCTGCTCCCTGGAGGAGCTCCGCCAGGCCTGCCGCAGCCCCGGCTTCCCATCCTGGCTGGCTGTCTCCAGGCTCCAGGAACCGAAAAAGTAAGCCTCGTCCCACTGCCCACAACACAGCTGGGTTGCAGTTACCCTGGAAATAACATGACAGTTTGGATCAGGTACTTAAGGCCAGAAACAGACAGCTTCCCGAGTAACGTGACATGGAAGCTGTCAGAGCTGCTTTTGCTTCAGCACTCTAATACAGGTAGAATGGCCAGGGCCGGAGTAAATGTTGGTCTGATGTATTATATCGGGATGGCCATAAAGACCACTCGGAGGAGAAGGGAGACAGAATGGGATGCGTCATCTGCTTCTCATGCTTTAGGGGTGGGAACTCATTTATAAAGTTCACCAAGAAAGAAATCTCTGCCCTAGCCTCTTTTCTTTACTGTTTTTCCTTCTTCATTGCTTTATCCAAATAGCAGTGCCCTCAACTTAAAAATTGAAGTGGGGAAGACACTAAAGTAATGAATAAATAATACATTTAATAAGAGAGAAAAGGAATTAGGAAACAGGAGTGGGTATATTTAGCAGCACCTGGTGCTTCCAAGTCTGCCTACTTCTTGATCCTTTCCTGAATGTCTGGAGGAGCACATAAGCCATCCCTGTTTTTACACCCACTGTGCAAATGCCATCCTCTACTGATGCAAAGACAAATTTAATTAAAGGGGATAAGTAGCCAGGGAACATGTTATCTTCCAAATAAAGCTTTCCGTGATAACATTAACTTTATTTAAAACAAATACTAGGTTTGCAGACTTTGTTCTCGGAGGAAGCCACTTGTCGCCTGAAGAAGTGAGGCTCCATGAAGAACAATATGGCCTTGGGGGTGCCTTCTTGGAAGAGCAGCTCTTTAACCTGAGGACTCGTGACAGTCTGCCTGCACAGTGACTTCATCCTGGACAAGGAAGTGAGGATGGGCAGGGATCCTGTGAAAGGTGGGCAGAACTGTTCCAAGGAACAGTGGCCAAAGCATTTGCTACAGAGAAACATCAAACCATACTGGAAAGGAAAGCTAAACTATATTGAAGATAACTGATCCTTCTTGTTCAGTTCTGTGTGTTGTGCTGTAGCAGGCCGCTGAGATTGTGTGACGGTCATCATCTCTTTCCTTGAATGAAGACTCTCGTTAGGAACAAGGGAATTGTGTTGATCTTCAAAGGACCAATTAATGTGAATAAGTTCCTTGTCAACTCCAGAGCATTAAAGCTACTCTTAAACCCCAGAACCTGCAACATAATAGTGCATTGCTCTTCCTGCGTGTTATCAGTGTAAGGACTGGAAGAGACCTGGGATGTGCTGGACCAATGTTTTCCAAAGTGTAATCCACAGGATGCTAAAGTGTTAGCAGGTAAGGGATCCTGAGGTCAACCAAGATGGATACACGATTAGACAGACATCCTGCAGGACTTCTCAGAGCCTTTAGTCATGCTCATGCATGTTGTGTGAACCTCCTGAAGAGGAGAAATAGTGTGTAGCGGTCTCTGACTTAATTTGAAAACAGAACCCTTCTTTATGAGATTAATATTCCTTGGACAGAATGTTTAGAAAATGCTGATGGTGAAGGAATGGAGGCTTGGAAAAGTTAAATAACTTGTCCAAGACCACAGAGAATTTTAGAGGCAGCCCTGGGACTCGAACTCCTGCCCTGCTGTTTGCTGGGGTTCAGGTAGAAGAAGAGACCTTTAGAAGCAAGCTGAGGGGCCATCTCTCCACAGCCTTGGGTCTTAGAGTATTGCTGACTTATTTTTTTACTTTTTAATAATACCAACTAACTGATGACTGCAATAAAGAGAAACATTTCCTAAGTTATATTTTAAAGTTTTGACAAGACTTTTATAGACATATATAAAGATGAGGAGTTAGAATTACTTGCTAAATTTTTGTGTGTGTTGAAATTGTTAAACTACTTTTTGTATTTCTTTGTATGTTGAAATTTAACCTCAAGTTTACTGGCCTGTTTTTTAAAATTGTGTAATTATATATAACAATTTCCTACAAAACAGATTTGTGTTCTTCCTTATAGAGAACAAATCTTTTTTCTTCTTGATTCACGGTGTTAATTCTGGAGTGAAGTGAGGGACTGATCGTGAGCTTTGACCCTGTGGAAAAGAGGCCAGAACATAGGTCTGAGGAAAGATCTGAACATGGCAGAACAACTGAAGGGTTAAGATGATGTTGAATTCATTCTCTTTAAGAATCAAATATGGACTCTTTTGCTGTTGGGGGGGGGCATGAAGAGTAGCAGCGTAAAGAATAAGGCATCTCCCATCTCTCATCTGCGTTGAGTACAGGGGTCCTGTCCTTCACAAGTGGTTGGCATGGGCTCCCTGCCTCATGCCACCATGGGTGCGTAGTTGTGGAGCACCAGGGAACCTTTGCTATGTTCCTACTTCCACCAGCTGCCTCATAAAAGCTCACTGTTGTTAGCAAATTGGACTATTTGACGCCAACATATGTGGGTGAGATGTAGTATAGGAGGCCATGTTTAAGTAATCATATCATTCTATATTATTTTTTTAAGGTTTTAAAACATATACCACAAAAATTGCTTTGTGAACTAGTTGCTTAGTTTGCCAATAATACTTAGGGGGCTGAATTATAAGAGAGTGTTCGTCTGACATTTAGGACGGTATTTGAATTCATGACTTTTTTTTTTTTTAATCTAGAAATTTAAGAAATTTTAGATTTTAAGAGGTTTGGAATAGTTGATATCTAAACAGTTGAAAGAGTTAAGACCCCCAGAATGGCATCAAGAAAAGACAAAGGATCTTATATTTTTCTGTATGTGATTATTCTCCAGAGTTTAGAGAAGTACAATGTTTTAATCACTTTTTTTTTTTATTGGTCCACCTGAAAGAAGAATCCTATGCAAAAATAACGTAATGGATGTGGAATTTTGAAGACACTTGCAGTGAGACAGGAATTTTTAGCTGACCCTAAGAGCCAGATGCTTTCTGTATTTTCTTTATTTCCTCTTTTACATAAATATTTTTAAAAACTGTTTTATTGAGATATAATTTATATACCATATAGTTCATCTGTTTAGAGTGTACAATTCATGATTCTTAATATATTCAGAGTTGTACAACCATTGCCATAATCAATTTTAGAATCATTTAGAATCATTTCTGTCACTCAAAAAAACCACTGTGCCTGTTAGCAGCCACTCACTGTTTTGCCCGTCTTCTTTCCCTTAGTCATAGCACCTAGTAGTCTACTTTCTGCCTGTCTATATGTCCATATTCTGAACATTTCATATCAGTGTATGCATGCATGCTCTGTAGCTTCAGTCAATAGCCTCATACAACTTGTAGCCTTTGGTTTCTGGCATTTTTCATTTAGCATAGTATTTTTTTTAAACTTATTTATTCTTTAATTGAAGGATAATTGCTTTACAGAATTTTGTTGTTTTTTGTCAAACCTCAACATGAATCAGCCATAGGTATACATATATCCCCTCCCTTTTGAACCTCCCTCCCATCTCCCTCTCCATCCCACCCCTCTAGGTTGATACAGATCCCATGTTTGAGTTTCCTGAGCCATGCAGCAAATTCCTGTTGGCTATCTCTTTTACACACGGTAATGTAAGTTTCCATGTTACTCTTTCCACACATCTCACTCCCCCTCCCCTCTCCCCACGTCCATAAGTCTGTTCTCTCTGTTTGTTTCTCCATTGTTGCCCATTCTTTGGTACCATTTTTCTAGATTCCATATATATGCGTTGGAATACGATATTTATCTTTCTCTTCCTGACTTACCCCACTCTGTATAATAGGATCTAGGTTCATCCACCTCATTAGAACTGACTCCAGATGCATTCCTTTTTATGACTGAGTCGTGGTGTTGGAGAAGACTCTTGAGAGTCCCTTGGACTGCAAGGAGATCCAACCAGTCCATCCTAAAGGAGATCAGTCCTGGGTGTTCATTAGAAGGACTGATGCTGAAGCTGAAACTCCAATACTTTGGCCACCTCATGCGAAGAG